AGTAACCGATGCACTACAAAGCTGAACGGTACTATTAGTTAAATCTATTTCAGACGTATGGTAAATGAAGGTATTGCAACACCCACATACTCTCTGCAGACAGTATGCAACTGCCGCCCTAGATGGCTTCGCACATGCGATACTCGCCCGAGATAGCATGTTAAATATGTATGTGTATAAGCCGGACGTATCTGGCTGGACAGGTATGAATGCTCTATCTTTTAAGTTGATTAAAGAACAGGCTCGAATTGTACCTCCTCTGGTCTTACTAAAATAAGACTCCCGAGACTCCGAGTGTGTTCGCTCTCACGGAACTTCCGTCGATGAATTACAATCTATAAATAAAAACGACGGAAATAGACTTTCAAAATCAGTGACCGTAAAGTGTCTGTCCTACAAATCAATACTGAATGGTGGACCACAATACCCAGTGCAAAGCAATAGTAGACAATTAACCAAAACCTCCTTATTTAGTTTTGTAGGCATTTCTCTATGCTGTGTCTCGAAATTGTAGCCGGCTTCCGAGTTCTGGGTCATTTTTTCTTCATTTGACTACGTCGTAAATTCGTCGCAGATTCATAATCTAGCATTTCCTCCATGGCCCTGTGCGGTTGTGCCCTGTGGAGTGTGGATAGAGTCTCTGCTACCATTTGTCATTTGATTTCCGGTCGAGAACCCCATAATCCACATCATCAGTCCACATTGGTATACTCGGGACACTCCGAGTCTGGTATTTTCAGTACAATTTGTACTACAGAACACCCCGGCCGCGAGGGCCATGTTTCCTTTTCTTTCTTCTGTTCAATTCTAGAAGAAATGTTGTTGTTTTTTTATGTTAAGAAAAATATGGTTTTACACAGTGTAAACTAGGTTTTTACCCGAGAGGCGGTTGCGACGTTTGCCGCTTGTTTTCGCGTTGGCGAGAAAGAGTTCCGTCGTGTCAGAAATTTTTTTTAAAGAGTGACAAGCATATATATTTTATAAATACACATACATGTGTAGCTGCTGACAGCTTGCAGCTTACACATACTCTGATTCATAATTATATACAAGTATCAGTCTTTCATACAATTTATAGCGATTCGATATAATTGAATGCGCCGGTCATAGCGGTACAGATGCTAGACGCAGTGTATCCTCGAATACCCACTATTCAGAACGAATACACATATGTACAGAATTCAAAGTAACAATACAAGCACGCTTACGTAATACATATAAATTATTATATCTATCTACTATGACGGCGAGACGACTGGAAGCGTCGGAAGAAGTCCGCGCCTATGTCAGCAAAATAGAGAAGCAAAACGAAGACCTCAAGGAAAGAGTTGCACAGTTAGAAAAGCAATTCAAGGCAGCCCAGGATTCGTTCAATGTGCTGGACGATGATTTGTGCTGTGCAAAAGTGTACCATAAGGTCCTGGAAGCGGAAAATAGGCACTTTATCGATCAACTGAATGTACATACACCAGGCTTTAGGAAGGCGGTCGATAAGAGACGCGAGATCGTTGCAGACGAATTGATAAACGCCTGGCACAGGCGTGAGAAGCGCTTGCGAAAGAATAGCACCAGCGATTTAGTTGCACAGTTACAACACCGCAAGAACTACGAGTGTCTCCGAAACTCATTGATTGAAATTGAGTTGCAGGGCAATCTGGTGTTGGATATAGAGACGGTCAAGGAGGTGTGCAAGAGGGCTGATTACATCAAAGAGTTTGTTCGAGTTGAAAAAGTGATAACGGATGCGAGGCACAAGTGTGGGGGTGTAGACTATTTGATTATACCACGCAAAGCGAATAAACCATCTCACACTACGGATGATAGTACAAACACGGGGTCACACAAACGTGCGCATATTGACTTCGACGGAGAAGAGGAGCGCTCTAATGTGGCTGACGATAGAAAGAGGCTGGCCTTGGGTGACGGTACGGGTAAGGGTATGAATACCACCGAGACTCTTGGTAACTCTGCTGCTTCAAATAGTTCTGAACAGAAAGCTCCGGATAGTGCCGGGACTATGAGTGTGTCTGAGGTCCAAAACACCACAAATCTTGATGTTGACTCCGTCAAGGATGCAGTTTCCGGTGGAGTACCAAGCGAGAGCCAAAATGCGAACGACGGCGTGATTTCAGGTAAAAATAAAGTTAGCGCTGGAAAAGCCGCCACCACAAGCACGACTGGCGATAGTGCCAAATCTGCTGGCAGAGGCACAGTAGTAAAAGAGAGTAGCAAGGCGAAAGAAAAAAATTCGGCAAATGGAAAGGGCGAGGGCAGTGCGTCTAAGGGTCTTAGCACAGACGTGCATACGAGCGTAGTGTTGACCTGGTTTGCAGAGATAGCCGCGCCCAGTGAGAGATTCCAGGACATGCTAGACGACCAGGACTTCCGATGTGGAGATTTGATAGTGAAACGGGGCAGGAAACGCATGGCAACTGATGGTACAGCCGATGCGGGGGTCACTTCGTTACCTACTGTACCAGAGCGCGATGTATCGCCCCCGCCGATATTGGTCCCGGAAAGAGAGCGCGCGCCAATACCGGTACAGCAGTATAGGCCATCGCCGAATATGAATTACTCGCCCTCACAGCACAGGCCTCAAGGCGTGCAGCAGATGCCGGTGCAAGCGCAATATATGCACCCCTCTGCTGATCCTTATGCGGCACACGCTCAGTACCAAATATCTTTATCTTCACAGCAACCGCAGCAACTACAGCAAGGCAATCCATACTCACAAGAGTATGGACCCAGTGCTAATGAGAGATATGCTCAGGCACAAGCCCAGCACCAGAAACATGTGTTTGATGATGAGATGCGGATGGAGGATGCGGAGACTTTGCATGTCAATCTCCATAACAGTGATAAGAAGACTGACAGGGGCGGGAAGCGGTCTATGCGTGAGCAACAATGTCCGGATTGTGATACGAAGTTTAAGTACATGAAACCATTCGAGAACCATATGCGCCTTAAACATGGGAAGGACAATTACAATATTTACCAATGAGAAATGTGTATATTTTTGTACATAAATTAATATTGAAATATATACATAAATGTGGATATTCGCACTCAATTAAAAAGGTTTGTGAAAAGAAAATATAGAATATAGGTATGTCTAATATGTATATAATATATTTATATATATATTGTAAATATATTATATATACATATATAATAGGTATATACATATCTATATTATGTATGTATCTATATATATATATTTGTGTGTGTGTGTATATATAGACATGATTGTCTATATATTTGTGCATATTTATATATATACATGTATATGTATTTATATATTTGATATATATATATGTGAGTGTGTGTATATCGATATATATATGTATGTGTGTGTGTATATCGATATATATATATGTGTGTGTGTGTATATCGATATATATATATATATATATAGATATATGTGTGTGTGTGTATATCGATATATATATAGATATATGTGTATGTACAAAGTACAATTCAATCTATATTAGAATATATATATATACTTGTATATATATAATTCTACATATACATACACGTATATGTATATATATATGTATCTTACATATATATATATTTGTGTGTCTATAGATATATGTATATGTCTCACATACATATGTATTTATATATTACAAATGTATATGTATATATATGTGTGTGTGTATGTGTGTTTCCGTTTATACATATATATCGACATGAACATATATATATATATAACTTGTCTATGTATATATATATATATGTATATGTATTTATATATAATATATATATTTATGTATGTTTATTTGTATGTATATATGTATGTATATATATGTGTGTATATATGTGTGTGTGTATATATATATATATATCTGTCTATATATATATATATATTAATTTATTTTATACGCATATATATATGTATGTATATA